TAACCGGTGGGGTGTCCGATGGCATTGGGGGGGGCAGCGGCGGAGTAAGAGGGGGAGAGACCGTTGGGAGTGGGGGAGGGGGTGAGGGGGTCGGTGGTGGAGGCTGAGGTGGGGGAAAGGGCATCCCGAGCGAGGGGAGTGGTGATAGGGGGCGAGCGTCCCCGAGAATCTGGTTTGCGGAGCTTGTTATTGAGGGCATTGACACCATTGCCCCTTTTGTTTGGCCTGGTAGAGGGGTGGGAAAGCTGTCTGGCGGACGGAAGGACCATTGGTCCTCTTGTTCTGCCCAGTTTTTCCATATCAACTTTCTGTCATCCCTCACTTCTGCTAGCTTTCTGTGGGGATCGATCCAGAGCTCCCTGAAGGCCTGGATGGCCTGTTGTTTACATTCTCTGTCTGGGCTCGCGGTCAGTACATCAACTAATTTCCTCTTGGCTTTCAGCAAGTTTGCCCGGAGGAACTCCACCAGCTCCGCTTTAGCTTGGTGATAGCCGAAGGCAGCTTCTTGGCGTTCCCCTGAGCATCTCATTCGCCATATTACCATGAGTACTGCCAGTCGCATATATCCGAACAGATTTCGTTGGAATGGGGACCAGGCTGCGGGGTGGTTTCTTCGTTTTCCCAATAGGATGAGTGCTACATCCCAGTGAAACACAGTATCTGTGAGGGCGTGCCACATCGCGTCCCACCATTGCGAAACCCTTATTGTCGCAGGGCATGCTAGCAAACAGTGTCCCAGATCAGCTCTGCGGCTTTCGGTATTGGGCCCGCATTGGGAGCAGATTGGAGACAGGACACCTGCTTGTTCCAAGCTAGATCTGGAGGTCACCCAATCTGGAGTCGGAAGTCAGCGGTGCGTAATTTGCCATTGGAGGGCTCTATGGGAGGTGGGCATTATGTGTGCATAGGTTGTCCATGGAATATGTCGCAATTCGTCGGCTTCTACCGGGGAATCCCTCTTCCATCTCTGTTGAATTATCTGAGTGGATGGGAGCAGGACATGGACCCTCTTATAGCCCTCTTTCGTTGTGTATTGCCATATGGGGGTGGGGTTATGGCCCCCCCATTCCCATTCTTCCCGGTCGAAAGGAAGTGCGTATATCGGGATTGACATTTCGTAGGCATAGTAGCCTGTATCGTTTGTCCCCACCACTCTGATTCTGGTTAGCTCATCCTCGGTAATTGTGCAGTCCAAGTCCGGGACCCTTTTCAGAGTTGCCCACCTCGTCCCCGGCACGTCAGGTTCATATGCATGCGTTGACACACCCACTTGTGTAACGTGGACCACCCTGTAAATGGTCATGGGGATGGGGTTTGTGCTGCCCGGATGACCCAATCTAGGCTGTGCAGCGTTGGTCCATCCCGTAGGGCTGCCACCCATGGGGGCGGGATCGCCTCTCGAAGTTGTTTAAGCTTGTCATGAATATTCCGTACCGCTTTTAGCGTTGGCTGCAGTTGCTGTGCAGTCTTCCACATCCCTGTTTGGCAATGCCACATATTATCCCCAATTGTGAAAATGCCTTTTCTTACCCATGTGAGCCAGTGGGAGTCGGTGGACAGGGCGAAGGAGTGGCCAACATTATCACATAATATGTGTGGGTTCCCAAACAGTGGTTGTTGCAAAATTTCTTTTGTCCTGTTTGGGGGGGACTTTTGGTTCGGACCCATCTTCCTCCACAAGCCCAGCATTGTTGTCCACAGCGGGTCGTATTTGAGGTCCCATCTGATGCTGTTACGAGCGGAGCCATCTCTCGTATGTCTCGGAGGGCTTGGTAGAGACCAAGCCTTATTTGTCAGCCAGCTCAGGGGGTGAATCGGGCGATGGGGGGGGCTGGGGGGTGCAAGGTTAGCCAGCTGCATGTAAGCGAGAGGGAGCCAGGGGAGGTCATTGACCAGCAGGAGGTGGGTGATAATTTTGAACATCAGGGCTTTGATTTCGTCACCCGGGTCCAATATGCCAAGGCCTCCCACGCGCTTTGGTTGGGTGACAAATTTCCACGCAACTCTTTTGATGCAACGCGTGTTGTCGTGGTCGTTTTTCCTTTCGGCCAGACGGAAGGAAGGAAGCGTGAGTCTGTTGATATTGTTAATTTTCAACTTGCCGGTGGAATAGGAACCGGACTGACGCCCCCCAGAATGGATTTGGAGCCAGGGCCATTATTTATTAAAATAATAATAATAAATTGACCTTTCATTAGCAGTTAGGATCTGAGTCCACCATACCCTCCCCTTACAACAGACACTCCACGCATCTCTCTGTTACAGTTGCGAGATCATAAGACAGCAGCGTTTGATTTCTTCTCACTGAGCTGAGAAGGATTTGTTTACCACCGCTTTACTCCTTCCCGCATTCGCTCCACATCCACCCGATCTGCTTTTCCTTTTGCCTATTTTGGGAGTCACTAAAACCATCCTCTCAGACTCTAGACTCCATACTAGAGTCTTCCCCCGAACATAATGCGCCCTGAAAATGAAACGTATATGTTTCCGGCCCCGTACACGGCGTACAGTCAAAATGAGGTTGCATGCCCATGTCCTGGTCCTTGATGCCTGGCCTAAAAACGGCCTGCCTCGGTCAGAACCGGACGTCCATGCCCCTCTGCTGCATCAGCGGAGGTGTCCTTTAACCAGGGGCTGGACCAAAACGTGGTTCACTTGCCAGGCCGGAAAAACGCCCGCTGGGCCTGGATCAGGCCAACTGGTCCAAATGACACTACCGGTCTGGACAAAACTACTGAAACGAGAAATCCAGATGGAACAAACCTACATGAAATCAAGACAGACAAACGGACTGAGAACACACAAAAATGAACTTAAAAAACTGCAAACGACCCAAACAATAAAGAAAACGCCTCCAAACTCATGCTCCATGACCCCTGGACCAATATCGGGCCCTGGAGGGGCCCGTGTGGGAGCCGTGCATACCTCATAATCCCATGGGTCTCATCCCATATATGGCTTACTCTTCAGATCCCACTCGTCACCCCAACCATTCAGCGGTGGTCTTGATAGTTTAGAGAACATGGGTGGTTTCCTTCGTCCCTCATCCACTTGTTCCCAACGATTGGTTGTGTAACAAATTTCTCCCTTGAGATAGGTTTGTCCCAACTTTGTGGGTCTCTTGGGGCCCCTTAGACCCCCTCCGTTCTCTCCCCCCCCCCCCCCCCCCCCCCCCACCACCACCACCGTTCTCACAGCCTTCTAGCCCCCCATCCTCCCCCTCCAGCTGCTGAGCCAGACTCAGACATCACACAAACCTCGCCCCCTACCCCCTGCCCTACACTGTCTCTACTCCCCCACCCAAGCTTCCTTCATCAGTATAATGGGGTGAAGCAAGGTACCGGAGCTGCAGAAACAGCCTTACAAGCAGCAGAGAGCAAAACATCCCACCACGATTCACTGGCCTATGGCAAATCAACGAGCTCCAACCTTGAAGCAGACCCACTCTCTCATCTGCATGATCTCGGAACTGGATGCGACATCTGCAGGCGAAGAAATAACACACAAATCCTCAACAGCGGGACTCCCAAACCAGGGCAAATGGCACCTGTTATGCGTTGAACAGGACTTACACCCCCTTAGTAAGGAGGGGGACATCGGGCTGCTGGGCCAATCTCTTTGAACAAAGGTTACACGTTCCAACGTTTACTGTATGGGACGCTGGACCTGTTTTTCAGCAGGTGCAGCTCCCCACCAGTAGACTGAAGCCATCACAAAAGGGTGGTCCCACTCTTGGAT